ATTCCAGTTCAGAGGAGGAGGAGGAGGCGAAGAAACCAACAGCTAAACCTGCGCCAGCAAAGACTACCCCAGCTCAGAAAGACGAGTCCTCCAGCTCAGGTAAGAGGCACCAAAAATCTGGAGGTTATTTTTCAGAAAATGTGTAAATATGGATACTGTGATTTATGCGCGTGACCCTTCCTGCCACAATGTGCGGGATAAAGGCTGATCAAGCACTGCCAGGCCAAAAAAAAAAAATAGTTGTCACCTGGATTTAACTGATCAAACAGGTACGAGCCTCCTATTGGATAATTACTGCATGGACGATTATCTTTCAGCTGCAACAAGTTATTTAACCCCGACTGGTGCAATGAGCTGCTTCTCATTTCTTAAACAACCACGTTGAAAGACACGTCACGTGGTCGTGGAAAAGATGTCAGTCTGTGTGAGAAGGGTCAAATCATTGGCATCACACAGAGAAAACATCCAAGGAGATTGAAGAAACGACTATAACTGGGTTAAGAACTGTCCCAACGCATTATTAAAAACTGGAAGGAGAGTGGGGACCCATCGTCTTCGAGGAAATTCAGGAAATTCAAATGTAACAGCAGCAACAGATAAAAAGATTTAACACACAACTTCCTAAATATTAAAAACAATATATGAAGAAATAAGAAAAACAATATCAATAATAATGTTCAATATGAGTTGGAACATTGATAAGGACAGACTATTTAAAGTATTACAGGCAGAGTGTGTGTTTTAGCAGAGGTCAGCGCGTATTTAATCCTTATTGGGTTTGTTGGGAGCAGTGGTGGTCGTAGAGTCAAACAGCTGCTGGGAGGAAGGACCTGCGGTAACACTCCTCTGTGCATTTAGGAGCAGGAATCTGTCACTGAACGAGCTCTCCAGTTCAGCAACAGCTTCATGGGGTGGGAGACGTTGTCCAGCAATGATGATATTTTAGCTCGAGTCCTTCTGTCTCCCACCACCTGCACTGAGCTGCTCTTCTTGATGAGCTTATCTAGCTGCTGCTTCTCAGCTGATGTTAAGCTGCTGCTTCAACACACAGCACCATAGAAGATGGCTGATGCCACTACCGAGTCAAAGAAGGTCTTCAGGAGCACCCCCTGCACTCCAAGACCTCAGTCTCCTCAGCAGGTAGAGTCTGCTCTGACCCTTCCTGTAAAGTGCATCAGTGTTGTGAGACCAGTCCAGTTTATTGTTCAGGTGAACACCCAGGTACTTGTAAGAGTCCACGATCTCCATGTCCACTCCCTGGATGTTCACCGGGGTCAGTGAGGTGGGTCTGTGCCGGCGGAAATCCACCACCGGCTCCTTAGTTTTAGCAGCGTTGATCAGGAGGTGGTTCTGCTGGCACCAGTCCACAAAGTCTGGAGTCCGTTGAGTCGTCCTCACCTGTGATGAGGCCGACTGCGATGAGGCCGACTGCGGCAGAGTCATCGGAGAACTTTTGCAGATGGCAGTGTGGGGAGTTGATGGTGAAGTCTGCAGTGTAGAGGGTGAAGAGGAACGGTGCTGGCACCGTTAAATCTTGGTGGAAAATTTAATGCAACACTGGATGAAAATAGATTTTGTGACATTGCAGAAGCTTATCGAAACCATGTCGCAGTGAATGCATGCTGTAATCAAAGCTAAAGGCAGTCCAACGAAATATTAGTGTGCAACCTTTTTTTTTTTTGGCCAGGCAGTGTATAAATATCTTATTTTATCGAAGCTTTATTGCTGGTGCATATTTTTCTAAACATCGTTTCTTATCCACATTTCAGAAAGCAGCTCTGAAGATGAGGCGCCTGTAAAACCCGTGGCTAAACCTGCAACCCCCAAAGCACCAGCTGCTGCCTCTAAACCTCCAGCAAAGGCAGCAGAGACGAGCTCCTCATCCTCGGAGGACTCCTCTGAGGATGAGGAACCAGCGAAACCCAAACCAGCTGCTAAAACTGCTACAGCTGCAAAAAAGCCTGCTGTTAAAAAACCTGCAGCTGAGAGCAGCTCGGAGTCCGACTCCTCATCAGAGGATGAAGAACCGGTGAAAACGAAACCTGCAGCCTCAAAGGCTGCTCCGCCTGCTAAGACAAAGGCCACAGCAGCGACACCACCTTCAAAGCCCGTCACTCCTGCAGCTAAAGCAGCTGCAGCAGAGAGCAGCTCTGATTCTGACTCCTCATCAGAGGATGAAGAGGAGACTGCTAAGGCCAAGCCACCTGCAGCTAAAGTGTCCACTCCAGCATCAAAGCCTGCAGCTACGAAAGGGAAGGCCGCTGCCGCTGAAAGCAGCTCGGACTCCGATTCATCTTCTGAAGAACAGCCAGCAAAATCCAAGCCATCAGCTGCTGTTCCAGCTGCAAAACCTGCAGCAGAGAGCAGCTCAGAGTCCGACTCCTCATCAGAGGATGAAAAACAGGTTAAGGCGAAACCTGCAGCCTCGAAGGCTGCTCCACCTGCCAAGACAAAGTCCACAGCAGTGACACCACCTTCAAAGCCCGTCACTCCTGCAGCTAAAGCAGCTGCAGCAGAGAGCAGCTCTGATTCTGACTCCTCCTCTGAGGATGAAGAACCAGTCAAAGCTAAACCTGCCGTCGCTAAAGCAGCTACACCGATCTCGAAGCCTGCCGCAGCTGCTAGTGCCAAGAAGGCCACGCCAGCTTCAGGAAAAAAGGCCAAAGAGAGCAGCTCCGAGTCTTCAGAAAGCTCTGAGTCGGAGGCAGAGGCTGCCCCCGCTAAGCCTTCAGCAACAACTCCTAAGACGTCAGCGAAGGCCGCCAAGTCGTCTTCATCCAGTGAAAGCAGCTCTGAAGAGGAGGAGTCGGCGAAGAGTAACAAAAAAGCCGCTGCGCCTGTTGTCGCAGCCAAGAAGACTCCAGCAGCTAAAACCAAGGAGAGCAGCAGCTCCTCAGAGAGCTCCTCCGAGGACGAAGGAAAACCACGTAAAGCAGCCACTGCCCCCTCGACCCCCACGACTAAATGTGAGTTTAAAGCAGCTCAACGTGACGTGATTCTATAGAGACGTTGTTTGTATTTACCTGATTAATAAAACTTTTATTGTCATGCACAGTCTTGTAATAAGAGCACGAGTGAAGGTGTTTCCTCTAATTCACGCAGACGCCAATGGAAAGAAGAAACAGGACGGAGAAGAGGAGGAGACGGAAGAAAAGACTCCAAATAACAAGAAAGTGATCACAACCCCCCAGACCTTCCCTAAAGCCAACAAGAAGGTAGGACCAGAGAGAACGTGTCGGCAGAAACTCCTCCAGATTTTGTCCTTAGATAAGTAACATTATTAATAGACCTGTTCCGATAAACAATAAATCAATTAATCATTCAACCTTTATTTAGACGGGTTAATCTCATTGAGCCTCGAGGACTCGTTTACAAGAGAGACCTGAAAATCAAATAAGTGAAAATTATCGACCTCATGTTCATTTATCGGCTTTATCGTTTCTTCGTGTCTCTCTCTTTCCACTGAAGACACTGGATGATAAAAAGCTCAACTCCGGTGCTCTTCACTGACTCCGCCCTTTCTCGTTTCTTTTTAAAATCTGTTTTAGCAATCCAAAGTCACGTCTTTGGATTGTTAAAAGCAGCTAAGCTACGAGCTAAGCTAACAGGCCGACCTCAGGAAAAAACCTCCGTCGAGTCGAAGCTCCAAAATTCACGGTTGAAACTTCGTCTAAAAAGTTTTGTCCCTCACTATCCATCTTTCGTTTCAGTCTTATACTGCCATCCGGTGGTCAAAAAAGATACTACACGCAAAACAAATTAATCAACATGTCTTCTTAAATTTGATAATAATTACTAATTATTGTCAAATTTCAAACAATATTATCGTTTATCGCAATAATTTCTGAGACAATTAATCACCCAGCAAAATGTGTTATCATGACAGGCCTAGTTATTAACTGACTCTACATGTCCCTCGGTTATCACGGGGGCTACGTTCCATCCCCCACCCCACCCCGTGATGGGTGAAAAACTGAAGTAGGAATGCTATATTTATTTTAGTATTTATATTTTAAGGCTTTATAAACCCTTCCCACACTCTTGCAATGTTCTAAGCTCTTAAATCTACATCATTTTAACAACATATGTTCAGTAGCTACTGCAAAATGTTATATCTGTACTCACCAGCCTTGGTCTGGTTCTGGTCGGGTTCTGATCGGCTCTGCATCCGTTGAGCGTCAGGTGCTTTTGGAGAGAGCTGGACCTTCGGAGATCCAGCACAAAAACCACACGGCGGTCCCGAGAAGAGTCCAAATAATCCAGAGGAATCTGGATGAAAGAAGTCTGGGGGAGCTCTGGAGAAAACACCGGACCTCCAAGTAACACCTCCCGGCTCGAGAGGCTCCTTGAGCCGGCAAGCAGCTCTCAGGTTGACCGATGAGGCTGGAAGTAGTCCTGGTCCAGTTCTGATCGGCTCTCTGCCCTCACCACTCAGCGCCGAAGTCACTGTGAATAAGGACCAAACTTTTTAGTTCGGATCGGATCAAAACTTTCCCTCTGTTTCGGCAGAAAGCAGCAACCGGAAGCACTGTTGGCTTCTGGGTAGTGTAGTTCTTTGACTAGCCTTACAGTTTAGGCTTGCTGAAAGAAAACTACAAAATGACGGCACCTGTCCCGAGTATTTATTTATTTTAACTTTTTATTCCGTACCGTCCCAATCACGGGAGTAATATTAAAGTTGACAATCGAAAACGTGAGAGAGCAAGTCCATGAAGTACAGAGGGTCTACTGGTTCTGTTCAGTGCCCTGAGACGACTTCTGTTGTGACTTGGTGCTGCATAAACAAACTGAACTGAATTTGAGATGAGACGTTTGATGGATTTGACTTCTCGTTCCAGTCGTCCAACGTTCCCTTCCGGAGAATAGTGGAAGAGCACATCGAGGTGGACCCCCGTCTTGCAGACAACTCTTTTGAAGCGAAGGTGAGTCCACGTCACTTTCAAAGATTCTGGACGTGACCCAGAAGTTTGTTTACAGGTTTCTTCTCGTTGTTGTGATTCCAGTCTGGAGCGAACGGAGACTGGGGACAGAAAGCTAACCAGATACTCCGAAACACCAAAGGCAAATCATTCCGCCATGAAAAGACGAAGAAGAAAAGGGGAAGCTACAGAGGCGGAGCCATTTCCACCACCATCAACTCTGTGAGGTTCGACAGCGACTGAGGAACTCGGACTCTTCCAGTTGGACCTGGGATCAGGAAGACTCGTCTGATGGGACTAACCCTGCAGCACAACGAGACCCGGCACTTCGTTTTCTTTGTAGAGGAGACCGTTTGTGATGCGAGGCAGATGTTTCCAGCTGTGACATCAGGCTGTTTGACTTAAATGTAATTTAACTTATGGCCACTAGGTGGCCACAGGACACCCATGAATGGAGCTGACGTTTGTTTCTTTTGTTATCATGAACTTTTTCTGAATATAGGTGTCCCTTTAAATAATGTAAGTTCGGTTTTTTTCATGTAGTTAACAATGAATGACCCCCCCCCCCCCCCAATCCTGATCAGAAACGTGTTTAAAAAGTTAGTTCGTGTACGATTCTTGTTCCAAGTTTCTTTTTTTTTTTTGTCCATTTTCAAGTTGTAAAGGATTCGGGGCTTTTTTTCTTCTTCTTAGGATTAAATTGCATCAAATAAAACAGTTTTATACTGTGTATTTATAAAGTTTTATTCTGTTTTAACATTAAGGATCAAAAATTCTTTTCATGCATCTCTGAGCGTGTTGATGTGAGGATGTTGAGCCTCGCAGAACTAGAATCACTTTTTTCCTTTCAGTTCGACTTTACTGTATAAACTTCTGTACCACTGATTTTTGTTTTCTATTCCAACCTTAAATAAAAACCTTGCCTTAAACGTCAGTGTATTTTTTTATTTAAGTTGATTTGGACTGTACTTGATTAGGTGTAATGTAAACATTAAATGTCCTGAGTTTTTAGTGTTTTAATGGTTTAAAGCTTCTGTAGTTTTACATTTTCTTTAGATGTTTTCTAAAAAAAAAAAAACGTAATGCACAAGCATTAAAGCATGTTTTTTACTATCCTGTTAATAAATTTCGTCTTGTAACTTGACTGGGAATTGAGTCATGAGCTCGGTGGATCAGGTCATAGGAAGTTCCCATGTCTAAATTAACATTTTAATATCTGTGTTTTTACACACCTGCAGTTCGTTTTATATTTAACTTTTTTTTTCAACAGATTGCTCAGACAGTTGCTGTGTAGGATTTTCTAATCCTTTGCAAACAAACACTTATTATTCCTACAACTGTTTAATAAATTCACAAATTACCCATCAAAATGTAAGAATTTCTTTTTTTATTCTGTGTGACTCCCCCCCTCCCCCCGAATACAGAGTGCACATGCAAGCTTCCATGTATGAAACACTGTATAAATATAAAACGTGAGCATGAGAGCTTTCTGCCACTCAGTGTAAAAATGTATAGAAACTTTTTGCTGTTTGAAGCTCTTTTTCAGTTCGTTTCTGTCTTAACTTGGCAGTGAGGGAGTGAGAGACAAATGTCTAGTTACCATGGTGACCATAGTGAGCCCACTGGCAGCAACTTTGCAACATTTTTTATTAAATATTGGTTCTCTATGTGCTATTCACACAGTTATCTGTCAACAATGGTGTACCACAAGGCTCTGTCTTGGGACCCACCCTCTTCACAATTGCATAGGTAATGTAAGTCAGAGCATCCCTGATGCATTCTTACATTTCTATGCTGATGACACAGTTGTTTGTCGAGCTAAAACAATCTGCTTTCTACATCATCCAGTCAGATTTGTTCCGTCTCAAACTTGTCCTAAACGCCGACAAAATCAAAGGGATGCTGTTTTCAAACAGGAAGTCGGTCCCAGCAGTTCTTCCTCTGATTTTATCCTCGAATAGCGTTCCTACTGAGTTTATCAATTCCTACAAATATTTGGGTATCTTGGTCTACCCACATCTCTTTTAAGCTCCGTGTGGAAAACCTAGTAAAGAAACTGAAAGCTAAACTGGTTTTCTTTTTCAGAAACAGATCCTGTCTAACTCTGAATGCTAGAAAACACCTTGTAACTGTGACTTTCCTTCCCTCCATTGATTACGGTGACATTATTTACATGAACGCTCCTACAAGAACCCTGCAGATGTTGGACGCTGTCTATCATGGTGCACTAAGATTCATAACTGGCTGTGATTATCGTACCCACCACTGCACCCAGTATTCACTGGTTAACTGGACATGGTTAACTTCATGCAGACTCTCTCACTGGTACATTTTCATCTTTAAATCACTTATTGGTATGCTACCTTCTTACATCTCCTCCTACGTGTCTCTGCATGAGTGCAGCTACAGCGTGCGCTCTCAGGACATGATTACCTGCAGTGTTCCCTCAATGAGGACTGAACTAGGTAAAAGGGCCTTCTCCTACTCTGCTCCTGTTTCCTGGAAAATCTTACAAAAAGCTCTGAAGCTCTCGACCTTGACCTCTCTAAGTGGCTTCAAACATCTGTTAAGTTCCTGGCAAGAACCAATGCAGACACGTTCCTGTTTTTAGTTTTCTACACCGCCCTACAATCTAGCTGTTTTTTGTTACATGTTCTTTTAAACACCATTTTATTTTCATTTGTGAAAAAAAAAAAAATAAATTTGTGCGCATCCTTTGATCGTCCACTGTTGTCATCATTCTTTGTTAAAATCAGATCTCTCTTGTAAATGAGTCCCCGAGGCTCAGTGGGATTAACCTGTATAAATAAAGGTTGACTGAAATAAAGAAATGTTTTTTTTTTTCGTTTGACTTTGATTTTTACGTGTTGTAATTCTGTGCAGCTGCCACCAGATGGCGGTGTAGCCCCTCTGTGCTGCAGCCATGAGGCTCAGCTGTAAATGTGGGACAGAAGGGGCCATATGCATACTGTCACCTGATGCCATGGGCAGTTTTCAAAATGCCATTGAATGGTCAGGCACCCCATAACCTGCTTCCTGTTAGCTAGTTAGTCCTGTCAAAATTAGCAATGTTTCATATTTCACATTAGCTATGAGGCTACTGAGGTTGATGTGTAATGAGTCCAGAAAGACCAGGTGGGCCTTCAGGACACGAACAGTAGAATCAGCCCAAGTTCTTTACGCATGTATCCAGTCGGTGAACATGTCTTACGGTTGTGACATTAGCTGAATATGAAAACCTGATCATCTGGACAGCTGTCCCTGCGGGACGTCCAGGTTTTGGGTGCGGCTGAACGTTTACGCATAGCTCTGAAGAAGTCGGGGTAAAAATCTAAATGTTTAAATCAGCAATTAGGAAAACAAAGTACAGTTATTAGAAAATGACACATTTCTCCCTCAGACTTGAAGAACATTTGTTTGTGAAAGACACAGGTTGATAACTAGTTTAGTAGCGTCATTTCGTTTATTATGGCCTACCACGAAAAGCAAATGCCTGGCTTTACTAGCGTCTGTTAGCACAATATCTCATGAGTGACCTTTAACGAAACTTTCAGGAAATACCAGATGCATGTCTACAACGCATTCACTTCTGAAGCCAACTCCAATCAAGATGGCCGCCAACTGCCCTTAGAAAACAACAACAATGGCTAAAATTCAGTCATTTTTTTCAGATAGTGAGCTAATAATTAGGCGTGGTAGTAGTGGAGCGTCATTCACAACACTCCGAGGGTGACGTCTATTCTTTTCAAGGTTAAAACTCAACATAATTCCACTGAGTGTTCCTTCTTGATCCAATATAAAGCTGACGAGCTAACCTCTGCATTGGTAAATGTTTTATTAACTTGTATGACCATCTTCATATTGTAAATGACCCGCACAAGAATTATGCACAGTTGGAGAACAGCACGTCCCCTCCACATAACTCATGCGTGTGAACTTGGAGGAAATGTGATTAAACTGATTACACATAAAAAAAAATCTTGATTTATGAGTTAGGCCTGCAGTCACTCCAAACATAGCCCCCTAACCCCCCCAGTTCGACAACAGCTTCCCATCAAGTTCTGCTTCGGCGGTCACCGAGCAGAGAAACTTGACAGTGCGCTTGCTTGGGGTTTACACGGATGAGTTGTTGAGTTTTATTTTTTGTTGTTTTGCAGAAATGACTCTGCAGATTCAAGTGTTCGCTGATCTCTACAAGAGCTTTTCATTCAAAGCCGTTTCTTTTATTTAAAAAAAAACAACAACAGAGATTTGATTCAGTTTTAACTAAAAGCTCAACATGTTTGATGAGAAACCGTGATTCACGTTTGAAAATGATTTTAGTTTTTTTTGTGTAATTCCAGACGCATGCTCGGGGAAGAACACGAGTGAGGGATGCCGAGAGGACCCTTCAGCCTAATCTGCAACCCAGCAACCCCTCCTCAGCACCACTCCCACCTGTCAGCTGTGAAGTGTGAGAGTGGAGTGGGCCGGCTCGGTTCAGCACCGTCTGCAGGACAATCTTTTACCGGGCAGCAGAAGCTGAGGACTGTCCATCCTCTCCATTTCAATCAGACAAAAACTGCCGACTGCTCCTGCACAGAAACACACACTTTTCTTCTTGGGCACAGTAAAAGCCAGTAGATGCAATCAGTGGGAGTGTTTTAGTTTAAACATGTGAACGCCACACGTCATTACCCATGACAAACGACTTCACTGGTGCCACAACGGATAAGTCCTTGTTAATCCATTACTGAGATTTACTTACAATATGAAGTCCTGGCAGCAAAACTAACCAAGACGAGCCGAAAACAGTAATTAAAATACTTCATTAGATTATTCATCCATCCACCCACCCACCTATCTACCGGTATACCCATCTACTGGTATCTATCTAGCTACCAGTATCTACAGGTAACTATCTACTGGTATCCATTCATCTATGGGTATCTATCTATGAGTATTTACCAGTATTTATCTATCCACATCTACAGGTATCCATCTATCTAACGGTATGTACAGGTAACTTATCTATCTTCCAGTATCTATCGATCTACTGGTATCCATCTACAGGGATCATCAGTATCTATCTACGGGCGTCTGCCGGTATCCATCTATCCACAGGTGTCTATAGATATTTGTTTATCTACCAGTATCTACTGATTTATGGGTATCCATCTACCAGTATCTACCTCTATATATCTCTATCTCTCTATCTATATATCTCTATCTATATATCTACATATCTCTATCTATATATCTACATATCTCTATCTCTATATCTCTATATCTCTATATCTCTATATCTCTATCTCTCTATCTATCTATCTATCTATCTATCTATCTATCTATCTATCTATCTATCTATCTATCTATCTATCTATCTATCTATATTTACAGTATATATCCTCTCTACCTTAACCTCTTTAATAGAGGAATTTATTTAAAGTACACGCTGCACAGTTTTGAAAAGCGAACAAAAATAACGACTCAATATTTGTCTCATACCTTTGGTTCGTGTGTCGTTAAATTCAGAATTTTAAAGCACATTTTAAGACCGGATGCCATCTACCTTGTGTGTTTGTTCGCCCACAGAAACAGCCAAAGTGACTGAAAAAGAGTAAAATGTTAAATTTACTGTTCTAGAAGTTTCCCTAAAAGCGCTTTGTTTACATTGAGTGTGGACCCGCATTACAAAACTGTATATCAATATATCTAGTAAACTACTGAAGTAAACTCCTTCAAACTGCACCATTTGATAAAGTTCTGGAGTTTAATTTTACACTTTTCATTGAGTACCTTTAAACTGAAAATGTGAAAATGAAAACATGGAAGCAAAACTAGACAAAGCACACATTCTTTATAATATTAAAACATCTTTATTAGATATATTTTTATTATGCATTTTATATAAAGAGTTTTCGAGTGAGCAGTAATAATTAGACGAATACACACAAGCGTTACTGATCTTTTCTGGAACGGAGAGGAAGCAGGCGGAGTGGAGCAGCCCCAAAACAAACATGGCTGCTCGTGTTTTTAGTGTTTGCCAGTCCCATGGTTCATAAGCCGCGTTCGTTTAGAAAACATGAGGGGAAAATAAACTCGGCATATTCTGAAATATACAAATACCCATAATGCCTCAGGCCAGCAGAACAGCCTTTAAGAGAATCGTTGCACGGCGGCAGGATGCTTCAGTCAATTTCCTGTTGGCTGGAACGACGGCGACATGCGACGATGATTGATGACGGCCCTCAGAGCTGCAGCCTTAATAAAGTCAATGCGTTAATTGTGTACAGGAAAAAAAAAACTCCCCCCTTTTCTCTTTTTCGTCACACACCCAAACGAGGAAAGTCGACCGTCCCCATTACGTCTTGGGCGAAGCGAAGTCCCAGGCGGTGTCCTGGGCGCACTTCCACATGGCGCGCACCAGCCGAGTGAAGCCCATGTCCTTGGGTTTCTCCAGCCCCCGCATCAGCCGCTGCTTCATGATGGCTATGAACTCCTTGTTACTGAGCTCTCCATTCCCTGGGGGAGACAGACGAGGTAAGTGGAGGGGGGGGGGGATGGGGCAGAGATGGACAAGGGAGAGGGATGATGAAATAATAAAGGAAAGGAAAGCAAGAGGAGGAAATTGCATCAGTTTTTTTTTTTTTTTCACCTATGGAGGCACCACTTGTCCAGAATTTATTTTTTAGGGAGGCGACGTGGCAGCTTACCGTCGCAGTCGAACAGAGCGAACACCACGTCGCACACGTGGTCCGACAGCTCCACCTTGGCGACAGTGCGGGCCACCTGCTTCATGGTAACTGAGAGACGGAGAACGTTGCGGTTTAGGTGCAACAAAGACGACACAAACGTCCCAAACTGTGCACGAGTCAAAAGGCGTTGGATCAATACGAGGAAGGGCTTGAATTTATCAGGGACACAGAAGAGAAGAGAGAGAGAGAGGACGAGAAGACAGAAGCAGGACAGCACTCTGAGGGGGAAACAAAGATGGAGGATGTGAGGGGATCAGGTGTTCAAACTGATGAAAACGCACGACAGATTTCACGCCAGAGTTTTAGACGAATATCTCTCCATCCGGTGGTTCACGGGATATTTTGCTAACAGGCAAACAAAGTTGACTCTGATAACTAATGCTAAATATTTTAAGCAAAGCTCTCAATAAATGAGTACCACTTGAGTGGGTTTTTATTACGATATGATCGGCATGGTATCGGTTTCGGCTGATATTAGCGTTAAAGTTCAATACCTGACATTCCATCAAAATAACTCACCGATATAAAAGGCGCTGTTTTTGTACGACAACCCGGTGACAAGGACGCCTGCAGCGGCAGCACAACGCGATGACGTCACGCGCGCCTACTTGATCTGATCACGGCGGAGAGGAAGAAGCAAAATGGCGGCGGTGTGGAAGTTTTATTTTCGTTCAGGATGTCGGATTCCAAAGATTTTGGACTACGTTCAGCCTCGCTACATCGTCCCCAGTCAGATATTTTTCCGACGTCGCCTTACCCGAGTTACAAGCCGTCATTCCCGACGTCGTTGAGAAGCTAATAGCCGACAGCACTTGGGTGAGTTTCACCACAGACATTTGGACGTCGTGTTAGCCCCGTTAGCATGATTTGTGTTACGGCACAATGGATAGACAAAAACTTTGAACTTAAAAAGTCTGTCCTTGATGCACAGGAGAGCAGAGGATCCCACACTGCAGCTATAGGAACCCAGAACAAGCCTCCACAAGTGAGACAGCATCACAGGTGACTAATGCTAATAAATAATATTTAGCACTTTTCATTTAATATAAGTTAAAGTGCTATGCATGTCATATGGCTGTTACTGGATATATGTCACCAGCTGTTACAGCTGTTCCCTCATATTTGTATAATTGACTATTACTGTATAGCCATTTGTAGGTTAGGCTGTGGTGGCCATATTGATTTTGGAAGATTCCCAATATTAATGACTCATGGAGGTACCTCTGATGTTTACTTTCTGAGGGTTTTATTAAAACTGTCCAGTAGTTCATGACACGACAAAAACTTGATCGTCTGCCTTCACCTTTTAGTGGCACGCAATAATTATTACGCCGTCAGCAGTCGTACTGCTGGTGGATTTAAGGTATTTAAAAAAACAAAACAAGCCCAGATGATTAAAAACGCCTCAAAGCCAACGGTGCGAGAAGGAATAAAGGAGCCAAATCACATCAAGAACCTCATTAGAGCTCTTCCTTTGTACCTTTCAGAAAACCACTGTGCACCGATCCAAACTTAACACCCACATGAGAGAAAGTGTGGAGAAAGGGTGTGAAATTGTTGGAAACGAGCGTGAGATGAGAAAGATGAAAAGAGAGAACAAAGAGCCTTGAATATTACAGGAGATCCTTTGAGCGGACAATAGCAGATCATTTGCCGCCTCGTGCCTGGAGGCGGTCCAGGAACCAGAAGCCGGTGGATCAGAACACAAATGATAAACGTACGGACCACAAACATGGATTTAGTGAACCAACACCTCAGGGTTGACCTTTCACTCTCCTAGCAGAGCAGCGAAGGCACGTATCGACAGAAACCATGGGGACTGTTGAAGAGACGAATTGTTTAAGTTTCCAGATAAACTGATCAATCTTGTTCGAATCCCAAAGAAAAATGAATTCTGTAAACGAACAAGAAGCGGATTGAAGAAAATACTGAACATTTTCATTTGACCGAGAACCGAGTGCGACATTTAATCATTAAATGTTTGGGTTTTAGTGACATTAAACACCATTCACGTTGACATTATGTTTATTAATGTGATATAAATCCACTTGTAAAGAAATCTTCTGAAAGATCTTCAAATATTCTGCTATCGGCAATAACAACAAATTAAACAAAACACGGTGTTGTTGCAGCGTGGAATCTTTAGTTTGTTATTTGTGTGAATGTTTATGACGCATTAACACTATTGAGATCCGTTTTTTCTTCTGGACGTTTTTCAGCATCTTTCTCGTTCCACAATTTTTGTGCTATTTCAACAAACCATATATCAAAACGTTCAGCTCGTGCCATGACTGTTGACACTGGTGCAACTTTAGCTTTTCGAAATATTTAGCCTTTTCTGCCATTTTTCCCCTTATAGAAAATTGAGCTCATTTTACATCCTTCAAATCTTTAGATCTGTTTACAGACTTTTCCTGCTCCTTCCACATTTTGTTCTGGTTCAGCTTCTTTCAGCTTCCTTGTGCAAATTTAAACTTTTTTCAGCTACTTTCAGCTGTTTATTTTTAGCTGCTTTGTGCGCCTAACTACATTTTTGTTCATCATCTAACTTCTTTCTGATAATTTCAGCTTGTTATGCTCCATTTAGTTTATTTCTGCAAGTTTCAGCTTTTTTCTACTATTTCAGCTATTATTTAGCTATTTTATGTTAATTTTAGCTTTATCAGCCAATTCCACATTTATTGCACGCATTTTAACTATTTTCAGCCTAATTCGGAAAAAATGTGCTCTCTCCACTTCTGGTAATTTTAGCTTCTTTCTGCTTTTTTAGCTACTTTTCAGAGGGTTTTATGCTAATTTCAGCTTTTTCAGGTAATTTCCACTTTCTTTTGTTCATTTCTGCTTCGTTCAGCTTAATTGGGAAACATGTTCTTTCTGCTTTCTTATGCAAAGTTAAGCTTGTTCTACCTTTTCAGCTAGGTTTTTAGCATATTTAAGCTAATTTCAGCCGTTTTCAGATAAATTCAAGTTTTTCGTGGTAATTTCTGCTACTTTCAGCCTAATTAACTTCTTTCTGCTAATTTCAACTTATTATGCCACTTTTAGCTTATTTCTGGTAGTTTCAGTTATTTCAGCTACTGTTTAGCTGTTATGCTAATATTAGTCTTTTCAGCTAATTCCACATTTTTTGCACTCATTTCAATGTTTGTGTTCTTTTTGCTTTCTCCTCCTGCTTGTTCTACATTTTCAGCTACATTTCAGCACGTTTTTTTTTAAGCTAATTTCAGCTGTTTTTCAGCAAGTTCTTCTGCAATAAGCATTCACACTGTATTTTCACAGGAAATTCTGTTTCTCTAGTTTAGTTTGTTACGGCACAATAAATAATGACTCAACAAGCTGCATGTGACACAACTAACACTAAAACAGCTACAACTAGTGTCCCCTCTAACTTTGTAACTGACTTCTTAATATCTCAGGCGTTTTTGTCCCCCCCCCCCCAAACTGTTTGACCAAGATGGCCACAAGTCTGTCATTTCTCCTTGATAGGCCGATATTGTTTTTTTGTTTATTTGTCATATGCAGGTTAACACAAGGTCAACAATGCAATGTAATGCTCAAGATGAGAACTGTTGGACTAAAACTTTGGTATTAAAGGTGGTGAGCATTATGCATTCTTTAAAGAAATGCAAAGTCCAATTTTAAATACTTTTAATATGCATGCTGAATTTAATCTGTTTGGAAAACCACTAAATCCATCCTCCTGGTACATCCAGAGGATAAACCATGAATTGATGGGTCAGCACAGTCCCCCCCCATCCATTCTGCGGCCCGTTCTGATGCTGCCATGTGTCAGTAGCCTGGACTGTAAGCGGAAAGTCATCTGTCATGTGTGTATAAGCGAGTCTTGAATTTGAATGTGCACGCTCCTGCAGGCCTAAAGGGAGAAGTGGTAGATAAATGGATGGATGGACAAACGGATGACGAATAGCTGAGTTAGGATCAGGAGCAAAGCCAAGAAAAGAAAGATGTGGGAAGCAGATTTAGTTGGCTGGGTTTTCACAGCTCTGAAAAGGAGAGGATGAAAGTGACAACAATCAAGTCTAAAGGGAAGTAATTAGAAGAATAGTGAGAATGTCAGAAAAAAAAAAAAAAAGAGTGAGAGTGGGTGTACCTTTGTCTATTGAGGCTCCTGCCATGTGGTAGAAACTCAGGGCTGTGTCCACGTCGTTCACATTCTTTAAGAACGTAAAGAAGTTCTCCAACTCGTCAAAAGTGATTCCCTGAGCCAAACGGAACAAAACACGAGAGCAAAAATAGAAAGAATAAATTAGTGAAAATCTCTAAAGGCTATGAAAACGGGCCATTAAGGCATTGAACTCGTGAAGAATCTGTCACATTTTGTCACAACGAGAGCTGCAAGTGCACAGGGCCGTAACTGCGAGCGGCTCAGCACTGTGACACACATGACAAGAGGAAGTGGGCAGAAGCTTTCGACGCGCATGGATGAGCGCAGCTCTGCGAACGGTCAGGAGAACAGACGGTGCTAAACACACGTGCACGCATACACATGGCAACAGAGTCACCAACACACAGCTGCTGCACTGCTCAGGAGCTCATTTGCAAAGAAAAGCGAGCATCTGGTCCCTGGCAGTAAATAGCACTTCTCTTATTTACATTAGTGCAAATCTGAAAGGCAGACAGCAGCGTGAGAGAGGGTGACGGAAGAGGAAGGAGATGAGTTCCTCGGAGACGACTCTGGCAGCGCAGGGCTTTCATGTTCTTCATGAATGGGAGGGTCACGCTGCTCCGCGTTTCTTTTCTCTACAACTGCCAAACTTTACCGCCAAACACGCCTCGCCGTAGCTCGGTCCGACGCACGTGGCTCTTTAAAGTATAAAAACTACACTTCGATGGGCGCGGTCTAAATTTTCAACAACTGAGATGAGACTTTTTAAGCACTTGGGAGGAATTGGACATGGGCCTAAGTTCAGTGAGCTGACCGACGGAGCTCGTTACACTGAGGAGGAACAGGACTTCCTGCAGAGACACTCAAAACTAAATAACGCATTATGGTCACCCAGGAAGAAAAACGAGGGCGTTATTGTCTTTTTTATTTTGTTCTGAGTTTCAAGCTTAGAGCTGAAATGTCAAGATTAAAGTGGGAACATTAGTGACTGCAAAAAGTGGAAATACTAACAAAAATGTTACACTTCAATTACAGAAATTAGGTCACAATTTATTGAGACCAGTCACTTTTTATTGACCACAAACAGTTTGCTCATGTCCCGTCACCGACGGGTTTGAATAGAGAACGATTCTGTTTGGACTAGAATTGGGACAGGGAAGTAAACCGTAATGTTTTTGATATTAAGTACTTCAAAGTGTATACACCGTGTATACCGAACTTGCCATCGTACACGTCGCGCGTGCACAGGACTTTAACAAGAATTTAACAAGATTAACATTTAAAAACAATTATTTGTTTGCTCGACATTATAGTAAAGGCGTGTCTCAGTTGAACTGGGCGGTGCAGAGAAATGCAGCTGATTTGATGTTTGCTCCAGGAGTTCAGGAGCGAGACAAAGGTGGCTTTGTATGGCAAGCCACGTGTCTCATTAATAGACTCTTTTACCTATTAATGAGACACTTGGCTTGCCATATTAGTCGAGGGCCCTCTAGTGGCTGAAAATGGTAGTGTTCAATATTTTCCATGTCAGGATGAATGAAATCGTCAGATCTCAGCCAAAAATTGGGTTATAAATATGGGAAAAACAAAAATATGTCACTTCGCTGTATAAGTTGCAGGCATGCTAATTTATGCAAAAAACTGCGACTTATACAGCAACAAATATGGTAAGAACAGAGTTGTTTTTTTTGCTTGTCTGAAGCAGTGAACAGTGACAGACCATGGTGAGTGGAGGGAGAGCCATTTGAGCCACAACCAGACACAACGGCGGAGCCCAGGGGTGGACAATGGTGGCCTTAGTTACTACAAATTATTCTTTGGCCACCCCGATCATTTGAAGAAACTTTATTTTTTAGCAATATATAGAGACCATAGTTTCCTCAGGTGAGTGGGGTGGCTTGTGTACGTATGGCGGTGGACATTTTGGATTTTGACTTGGCAACCCAGTTTTCAGTGGTGACCTTTCTTATGCCTAGATGCAGCCACACACCAAAATGGAAGTCCCCCCCCCTTCCAATTTATCATGCTCACAATATAAGATGGACATTTATGGTGGCAGACATCTTGGATTTTGATGTGGCAAAGGAACATTTCTTACACCTACATGTAGCCACACACAAAAATGGAAGTCGGTACCTCGTGTATTTTTCAACTTATCGAGCTTACGACATACACGGACGGATGGAGGGTATTTTCTATCCCCCCTCTTCGATCCACAATGTGGGGGGGGGACAAAAAGTGGCAACACTGACAGAAAATAGTTAGAATAGTATTGACAGAAAAAATAAAATAAAAACGACATTGGAAAAAAAAAGTTAATCTATAAAAACCAAACGGACGGAAGTGAACACCGTCAAACTCATGAACACAACTTGTTCCATTTTTAGATCCAGTTCTGCAGAACTTGTTTTAATCATTCATAAAAAAAAGTTTCTTTACGTTTTGACTTTTTAATCGGCAACATTACACATTACATAGATCTGGTACAGATTATTTACTTTATTCCTGACATTGCGACATTGTCTTCTTTGATTGTGTATACTGTAGTTGTGTTTTATACGTAACTTTTATCTCATCAGTGCAAGCGCAATAAAAGCTTTTGTTCGTTTGCGTATTTTATCTCATCTCATTTCTTTTCCAGCGTTTTACCATCAAACTACCAGGGACGAAAGATGAAAACAAGCCGTCGCGACTAAATCTGGCATGTTTACTTTGTAAACTCATGTTCATTGATGTGAAATTCATCTTTTCAACGATAAATAAATAAAATCCCGCAGTTTGTTCTTGAACTGGGCCTATATGTTGTCATAAAATTGAACTAGAAAAGTTGGAAGTTACCAAGGAAGCGGGAGAAAATCTGAAGTCTGTCCGTGGAGAGAATGAGCGTTTGCAGAGAAGCTGAGAGAGGAACGGAGAGCTAGCTGCTGTGTTTTTCTAACCAGTGACAGCTTTCTTTGGTCATAACAAAGTAAAGAAGAAGGGGCAGACGAGTGCTGGTCAGGTGGATGATATCGGGCACTGAATGCGTTATCTCCCCTCGGTGATGTATTACCTTTTATCTTGGCTCTCACAAACAATTTCCCAGCACAATCTCCTTTTCCCTTCAGGCACAAACACCTCATCACCTGCCACACGTCCTCCCACGTAGGCCAGTGAGGTAATACAGTCATCACCCCAGATATAACCCAAAAGTACATTTCATTTATCTAAGGCTTCCATTCAAATGTTTTAGTTTTTACCTGAGCATCCTTAAACAACTTCTTTAAGCCCTTCTGCGTCTGCTTGAGTTTACGAGACTGGACGCCGCTGTACGCCAGCAGCATGCCCCCAAATTGTCTTTCTGTGATTCTGCCGTCCACGGGGTCGTTCCTCTCGAACTGGGGAGAGAGAAAGATGGAGATTTAGAGCTCTACAAAAGGGACAGACAAATTATTATTAAAAAGCCGGCATGAGGAGATGGGAAACAATAAATAATGGAGTCAGGCTTTAAGCTGAATCTTCCTTGGAGCTGTTGGTGACATTAAATCTGCATTTTTACAACGTTTCACTGGAATATGACTTAACAACGGCGAGCTCTGGTTGTGTCAGGTCATTCCAGCAGATTTATGTCTGAGGACATCTGTCAGCTAAATGCTCTCTCACTTCTGAATGTGCTGACCCCTAAAAAACGCTCATTCATAGCACTTTTGGCAGAAAACACAAAGCTAAGCTAAACTAGAGATATGGCATTTCCTGCGAAAATGCAGTGTGAAAGCTTATTGCTGAAGAACTTGCTGAAAAACAGCTGAAATTAGCTTAAAACATGCTGTAATGTAGCTGAAAAGGAAGAAGTTCAAGTTATCAGAAGAAAGCAGAAAGGACACACATTTGCTGAATTTGGTTTAAATAAGCGAAAATGAGCATAAAAATTTGTAAATTACTGGTAGCTAAAAAAAGGCTGAAATTAGCAAGAAATAGCTGAAAAGTACCATAGCTGAAAAGGCAGAAAGAAGCTTAGAAGGAAATGCAGAGTCCAACTGTGCCCAATTAGGCTGAAAGAAGCAGAAATAAGCACAAAAAGGTTGAAATTATCTGAAAAAAGCAGAAATTTGAAAAAAAAAAAAGCAAAAAAAGCTGAATAGTAGCTAAAAAAGCATAAAGAAGAAAGTGGAGAGAGCACAACTGTGCCCAATGAGGCTTAAAGAGGCAGAAATAAGCACAAAAAGTGGAAATTATCAGAATAAAACGGAAATTAGAAAAAATCAGCTGAATAGTAGCTAACAAACAGAAAGAAGCTTAAATTATTATAAGCAAGTGGAGAGAGAGAACGTTTTCTGAATTAGACCGAAAAAAGTTGAAATGAGCACAAAAAAAAAGTGGAAGTAGCTGAAAAAGCTAAAATTAGCATAAAAACAGCTAAATAGTAGCTGAAATAGCTGAAACACAGAAATAAGCTGAAAGGAACAGAACAAGCTGAAACTAGCAGAAAGAAGTTCGAAGAAGCACAAAAATGTTGTAGTTAGCAGAAAGAAGCTGAAAGCTCAACACAGCTGGAAAAAAGCTGAAATTAGCTGAAAGAAGCTGAAACAGAACAAAATGTGAAAGGAGCAGTAAAAGGTTGTAAACAGATCTAAAGATTTGAAGGAAGACAAATGAACTCAATTCATTTTTGATGAGAAAAAAAATGGCAGAAAAGGCTGAACACTTCAAACAGCTAAAGTTGCACCAATACCAAAAGTCATAGCAGGATCGTCTTGAAAGAGCTGAACGTTTTGATTTATGATTTGATGAAATAGCTTGAAAACTGTGGAACGAGTTAATGCCAAAAAAACATTTGGAAGAAGTATAGTACCGGTAACTATAAGAAAAACATAAACAGGATGTGTAAGCATTCACACAACTAGTCCTAGAGTGGACATTTCAGACGCGTTCTGATCATTTATACCACCAATGAGTGTCTACTCTTTGTAAATTAAACGTCCCTTTGAGGAGGGGAGGTCTGAGTAATCATTCATGATATCAGTCTGTAGAAAATTAATTATCTTGAGCCAAAGGGCATTAAGAGAAATTACAAAATTCGTAGAAAATGACAAAGAAGGTGAGTTTAGAATAAGTAAAAAGAAAGGGGAGTCTGTATGACCTGCGGCTTCAGTGGCAACTTAAAGAAGGCATTAACATACAAAAAAAAAAAAAAAAAGACGTTTACTCTCCAAAACATAGTTTTTATCCGACATCTGCTACCAAAACTCGTGATTTATTCTCTCATTTAATCATGCCCTCCCCCCTTTCTAAAACTTTACTCTCTACCGCACATTCAAATTAAACTGGAAGGTTTGTAAAGGCTTCATTTTTGGGTCTTTTAAATTTTGAGACTCTAAATTCATTTCCCCAAACAGAAACTCTCTCTTTAGGGACTGGGCAGCAGATGTTCGAGCACAAAGAAAAGAAACTGTGTCTGAAACTTTCTAAACAGATGCCAGAAGATTTGAGTTGTGAGCAGTTAGCTTTAAAACCCAATCAGAATACTGTTTGATGTTTAACAAGTCCTGGTCAAAATCTATTATCACCAAAAAACCTAAATGCTTTTGGGCTTTTCTAAAGATATGTGCAGGTGCTCTACAAAAACTACTTCACATATAGTAGTTTACAAAAATACTGCCCCCTCAGAAACACCTTTGTCTCAACAGCTGCATGTCTCCTCTGCTGGGCCCTCTTAATTTGCGAAGCTCTAAAACATATTAGGAGAGTGACCCATAAAGGACTCGGCAGCCATGTTAATTAACTAAATGCTTCCCCTGCTGCACAATTAAAGATGTACCTGCAAACTGCATGTTCAGAGTGTTGTTCGCAATTCGATGCATTAACCCACAGCAGGTTATCAAAACCAACCACACATTTATCCTCTCTGAAGCCAAACAGCTGTTTTTGTGGATGTGAAGTGCCAGAATGAAGAGGGAACAGCAGCTGCAGGTGAACTTAAAGCTTCATGAGAATTAAATAAAGGTTAAAAATAAATAAATGTCAGCTGATCTCGATAACATTTTATACAACTATGAATAATTAGAGAAGTATGGTTGAATATTAAATTTTAACTAAACCAATTAGACCTTAATTAGATTGTTTTTATTAAAGGTATAGTATGTAGTTTTACTTCAAGGGGTAGAGCATTAAGCATGATGAACAGCGTAGCTGCAATATACAGCTTTTATTTTGATAATCAGTGTGCGCTATAGAGACGGGGAAGTTCAAGCCAGCAGACGCTCAGAATGATGTCATGAGAAAAAGCTCATTTTATTCCATCCTAAACAACAAAAATCTCTGAACTTTCATTGTGGTTTGCGTCAACACTTTTTTAAAAACACTATCGTGTTTGCATCAGCGATGACTCTGACCATGTTGATCTAATTATTTCAAAATAAAGTTGTCCAACAAAGTTCAGTCAGTTCGTCTGGACTTTTTGTTGTTGAGACGTTTCGTCCTTCATCCACAGGACTTCATCAATCCGAGGAGCCACAACAAAGAGTCCCACAAGCAGCACACTCCCATAGTGGACCAGTTTGCTGGTGATAAGATGGTTTCTGGGCTCCGCCCTCTCCCCCGGCGACTCCTCTGAGGCAGCCATAGTCAAAGTGGTTCAAAACATCAAAGTTCATGCTCAACAATCCAGGTAAAAAAATCCAACAAAATTCAGTCAGGTCATCTGAACGTTTTTTTGTTGTTGTTGTTGAGACGTTTCATCCTTCATCCAAAAACACTTCATCAATCCAAGGAGCCACTTGGTCCACTATGGGAGTGTACTGCTTGTGGGAAAGATGAAACGTCTCAACAAGAAAAGAAAAAAAAAAAAAGAAATTGTCCAGATGACCTGAATGAACTTTGTTGGATTTTTTTGTTTTTTGTTGGATTATTGAGCATGAACTTTGATGTTTTGAAAATAAAGTATTAATTTTTTTTAATTGTCTCCAAAAATCAAATATTTGAGAATACAGAAAAGGGCAGCACAGTGGCTCAGTTGGTAGAGCTGTTGCCTCTTCAGAAGGTCGCTGGATCGAATCCCAGATGGGGACCTTTATGGGTGGAGTTTGCATGTTCTGTCCGTGCATGCGTGGGTTTTTTCCGGGTACTCCGGTTTCCTCCCACAGACCAAAAACATGCATGTTAGACTGACTGGTAACTCTAAATTGTCCCTAGGTGTGAGTGAAAGAGTGAACGGTTGTTTGTCTCGTTTGTCTCCAACAGATGGATGGATGGATGGATGGATGGATGGACGGACAGATGGAAGAATACAGAAAAGCTCCAACTTTTATTTCGTTTTTTTTAATACCTCCAGTTTGAGCACGTCATGCTGCAGTTTTCTCTGAAACTCCAGGAAGCTGCCAATAGTGAGTTTTCCCTTCAGGTCCTGTCCAAAAAAGTAGGTGGTGAGAGCGGAGCTGCAGCCGGCCGTCTTCAGGGTGTTTCCCGTGGTGGAGCGGTCGCGGTGTCGCATACCCATACTGGTCTGGGACCGGATGATGCTCTGTACCTGGACATGAAAAAGATCCAATGGCAACCAAGATGAACTTAGCATTCAAAGTAACTATATACGTTTTAACGGTTGCAATTTAAGTGAAAGTTGTTTATTCTAAGCCCCTCTATTTATCATTTTGTCTGCTTATAAAAACATGTAGGTGTTAACAGTCCAACCTGTTCAAACTCTTCCAGGTCCACCTCTCCGTCGCCGTTCAGATCAAACATCTTGAAGGCAATCTCAAAGTTCCTCTGGGGAGCTGGATAGCACAGAACACACACCCACACAAAGAGACAGGTCCTTAAACCAATCCATCACAATATGAGAAGAAAAGTATCTTTGGATCGACCCAGAAAACAGCTGGGTCATTACAGTTCAATAATGATATATTTACTGCCTTCACTGCTTCAGGGCCTCAACAGGTGGGATAAATATCCCTCAAAGCCAAGAAAAGCTAAATGATTAACCCCAGTCTCTGTAGTACTATATTCTCTGAAATGTCTGTAGGAGGTAAACCACAACACAACAAGACGATTAGTCATGTCTGAATATGCATTCGTTTTATTTTCTACAGAATGCACATCTAAACCTTTGAAATAAAACATTAAATTCTTGCAATCCAAAAAATGTTTGGTATGATTTTGCATTTATTCTGAGTTACAAATTTAAATACACAAATACAAATTTCATCATGAATTTGAACATTTTAAAGCAAGAATACAAACATTTTCCACAGAGCTGCCTCCTTTAGAAAAGTGACCTTAACAGAATTATGATTTGAGACTCATAAAAAGGTTATACAGTAATTCAATTCAGTTCAGTTCAATTCATTTCAATTCAGTTCAATTCAAAAATACTTTATTAATCCCAAAGGGAAATTAAATGTTGTAACTCATCAACCTGGTTTCATTCAGAATTGTTACGGATGCTAATGGCTGTGGGCAGGAAGAATCTCTTGCAGTGGTCTGACTTAGAAGAGGGAGTGGGGAATGGTGGCGTAGAGGTTAGAGAAGTTGGACCTGTGATCGGAAGATCACTGGTTCAAGCCCCGGTACAGACAACATCAAAAATGTGGGTGGGATAGGTGAAGCACCCACACCTGGCTCCACCCTCATTCGCCCCATTCTGGGCCCTTGAGCCCTTAACCCCCATCTGCTCCCTAAAACCGGTCTCTCTTGAAAAAGAGTTCTCGTGTCTCAACGAGACTACCTGTATAAATAAAGGGTAAATTAAAAAAAACGGTTGCAGATGTTGATCTGTCTACTTGGACTTGCTGGGTTTCTCTGTCTTCTTGGGCAGAAGGACCACTTGAATCTTGGGCAGAACTCCTCCCTGAGCGATGGCCACTCCTCCCAGCTGCTTGTTGAGGTTCTCAATATTGTGGACAGCCGGTGTCAGGGGATGATCCTGGTCTTTTTGTAGTCACGAGCAGCACTTCCCACCAGCTCCAGGATCTCGGCGGTCAGTTACTTAAGTACCTCCACCAGGTAGATGGGGATGCATCCACGGCACCTCCTTTTTATCGCTTTTGTGATTTGTAGCTAAGGTATTATTTGAGCTTTTGAGATGTTGATCATCTGCTCCCAATTGTAAAAAAAAAACAAAAAAAAACATTGTTGTCATGGCTACGCATCATAACAAATGTCCAAAAGCAAAAGGATTTCAGTAAAAATCTGTCCAGCTGCTCAGCATCTGACATCAGAGGAAATCATCATCCAAATAAAGCGATTTACATCCAGAAAGAGAGGAATGAAAGTTTTCAAAAGCAACGTCCCAGAATGAAAGCAACAGAGTTGCTCCAACATGTTGCCACCTTTAGCGGCGCAATTCTAGAACTTTAGAATGAGGTCTCATTCTAAATGCTAAATTTACCAAGCAAAATGAAGTCTCATTCTCACGAAACGTTACAAGCGCCTCTGATTAACATGCTGTCGGTTCTTTATGTGTTGACCAAAAAACCTTTGCTGCTAAGTGTTGGACTCTACACGACCTCTGAAGACGCCCTGAGGTATATTGAACAGATCGGACCGTCTAACCCTGTAAGATGCAAGGTGCCCCAGTTCAGACTGTTTCTAGCACCACCTAACCTGAAATGCCAGATGGTTTGTTACACAGGACCATCTGCAACGCCTTATCTGGAAACTGCTTGGAAAAGGGCAAACACTTAAAAAAATAAATAAAAAAACAGGGCAGGTGTTTGGGTGAACCATCTGTCTGCCACCATCAATCCAGGAAATTTCCACCACAGCCAGCTTTCTTACTGTTACCAGTTGTCATAGGGACAACACACCTTTTCATCCTACTGGTTCCTCTCAGGGCTGTGTTCTTTCACTCCTTTTATTCATTTTATATACAAATGATTGTCGCCACCATTTCCCACAGCGTCACATTTTAAAGTTTGCTGATGACCCTGTCATTCTGTCCCTTCTCAGCAGTGATGACCCAGACCCCGGGCCTGTGGTTGAGGACTTCAACGAATGGTGCGAGTCCTCCTTCTTAAAGTTAAATGTTTCTAAGCCAAAGGAGATGGTCACTGATTTTAGAACAGACTCTTCAGTTGCCACTCCTGTGGTCATTAATGGTGAGGCCGTCGAGGTGGTGCATCAATATAAACATCTGGGAACTGTTCAATGACAAACCTTTGACCCCGATGTAAACTCTCTTTGTAAGAAGGCCCACCAGAGAATGTATTTTTAATGGAAGATCTGTGGTTTTAATGTTGATTAGACTTTTATGAGAATGTTTTATTCATGTTTTATTGAATCTCTTTGAACTTTTACCTTCATCTGTTGGTTTGGACATTTGTCATGCAAAAACAGGAGCAAACTCTCGGGGACAGTCAGGATGTGCAGCAAAACTGCTGGCAAAGCCCTACAGAACCTCACTGACCTACACAAGGTCAGGTCAGTGAACAAGGCCAGGCTGATTCTGGCAGATCCTGATCATCCACTCCATGGTGAGTTCAGGTTGCTTCCATCTGGACGCAGGTATCTGCTGCCCAGATGTAGAACAAACAGAGGGAAAAACTCATTCATCCCTGTAGAGATCAGGCTTCTCAACGAACAAGGATGATCTCTGTTATTTTAATGTGTCTGTGTCTTGTCTAGTATGAATGTTTTATGTGCCTAATGACTGGGAAACAAATTGCCCCTTGGGGATAATAAAGATTCTTGAACTTGAACTCAGAAGATTTTTTTCAAAGTAGAAATGTTTTCTAAATCTGATGTAACTGCTGTTACAGCAGTGTCCACCTCTGTGATCTGATGTTCTTCCTAAAATGTAACAGGGTGTTCAAAAATTAAGTAAAAAAATTCATCATCACATTATCAAATGGTATAATAAACATTACAACGTAGTGCAATACATTACAAATCTAAACAGATTCCTTTAATATAATTGGCTATCAGATCAAATGCAGGGTGGCATAGATGGTAGAGCTGTCTTGGCAAGAAGGTTGCAAGATCAAATCCCAGAAAGGGACCTAACTGTTTGGAGTTTCCATGTTCTCTCCGTGCATGTGTGGGTTTTCTCTAGGTACGTCAGTTTCCTCCCACAGACCAAAAACGTGCATGATAGGCTGATTGGTAACTCTACATTGTCCCTAGGTGAGAGTGTGAATGATTGGTTGTCTCATTTGTCTCCAAGTGTCCCTGTGATGGACTTGCAACCTGTCTACGGTCTACCCCGCCTCTCGCACAGTGACTGCTGGAGATAGGCACCAGCGACCCCCCCCCCCCACAACCTGGAAAGAAAGAAGTGGGTATAGATAATGGATGGATGGACAGGTAGCTAAAATCCTAAAGCTAAATGCAAACACTAAAGGGTGCATGTGAGTGTTGTGACGACACAAGAAAAATAAAAAGTGAGGAAAATGCTGATTTAATCGCAACTGACAGTCATTGTACTACTCAGCAATATTGCAGCAGGACATGTTCCTACTTTTGTGCAGCTGATCTCACGCGGCTGTGATTCATACCCATCTGCTCACCACAGACTCATGTTCGGGCTGCTGTTACTCCGAATTGTTTTGCATTATTAGTGTTTAACGTATATCTTAGATCCTTATATAACGTTTCTTGTTACACTTTGTGCTTTTGCTATTGCTGGGTGTAACTGGGACCCTGAGTACATAATTTCATCCCACCTCATGTACCACATGTGATGTGAATGACAATAAAGATATTTGAACTCTAGCTCCGATTGGTTTGAACCCAAGTGACGCCTCCTGACAAGAATCTCTCATAATATTGTAAATCTCATGAGAACCCGGCAGCCTAAAGGGAATCTCCAAACATTGGTTTTGATTTGACCTCCTGTTGACCACAGTTAGGTCTCCATGACAAAATTAAATTTGCATTTAAAATATGTATATAAGAAAATGTTGATGGCATTAGTAAGACAAATAAATAAATAAATGAAACCAACTTGTTTGCAAAAAAAACAAACTTTCCACCATCTCTTGAGCATATTTGTGCTTGCACAAGAGCCAAACAACAACGCTCCATCTACTGCTGAAAACATCCCACTTCCTTTAAAGGAAATAAAGATTCATGTTAATAAATATGTAAGACCAAATATGCCCAAAGCACATTTGAGCATGAAGGCAAAACATCCTCCAATAAAAAAACAGACTGAAACCAATCCTGAAGCACCCTTGCGTGACTTTGCCTAAGACTTTTCTCCATACAAACAGATTATAATAAATAGTCTCAGCAGAGGAGATGAGTTTACCAAGCATTCAGGAGGAAGTAGTCCAGCTTGATTCTTATTATCATAAACTTGGACACATTTCGAGCAGAAACAACGTGCAGTTCGTTAAACAAACCGTAAGAGTCGAGCTCAACTAAAAAGCTGACTGAACTAATATCTTTGTGAAAAATGTCACGCTTTGCTGATACTAAGAAAAGAGAAGGAATAGTTGAGTATCTGATTAGCGATCAATGTCACTGATTTAAAGGATTTGTCATGTGTGCAAGCTAGGCCTGTTGTGATAAACAATAAATCAATTAATCGCATGATAAATGAAAATTATCCACCTCATTTTCATTCATCGGCTTTATCGTTTCTTCGTGTCTCTCTCTTTCTACTGAAGACACTGGATGACAAAAGTCTCAACTCTGGTACTTTTCACTGACCCCTCCTTTTCTCTTTAAAATCTGATTTAACGGCCCAACATCACGTTTTTGGATCGTTAAAAGCAGCTAAGCTGAAAAGCTAAGCTACGAGCTAAGCTAACAGGCCGACCTCGAGGAAGCTAGAAGCTCCAAAATTCACGGTTGAAACTTGTGCCTTCGTCTAAAAAGATGTTTTTCTCTGCAAAAAGAAGCTGAGAACTTGTTTACTGATTTTTTATTAAAAGCTTTGTGTGACAAATGCTATGCTAAAGAGCTCAAACCACACTGAGCGTGCGCCATTTTGAGAATCGAAAAACAGGAACGAGAGACAGCCCATGTCACGTCAAGGGGCCTCCCTCCCATTTTTCTTAACGAGACACGCTGCTCAAACAGTCTTATACTGCCATCCAGTGGTCAAAAAAAGGTGTTACACACAAAAATTAACCAACACTTCTTAAATTTAACAATACTAATTATTGTCAAATTTCAAACAATATTATCGTTTATTGCAATAATTTCTGAGACGATTAATCGCCCAGCAAAATTTGTTATCGTGACAGGTCTAGTGCAAGCAGCAGGGAACAAAGTACTTACTGGACAGCACCGTGGTGAGGAAGATGTAGTCAGAGAAGGAGATCAGACCACATTCTCCTAATGTGTAAAATATGCTGTCCTCGTCTGCAAACTTCTCTCTCTCTTGGGCAATTTTCTACTCGTCCATGTCGTGACAAAAAGAAAAAAAAACAAAAAAACAACTGCATTAAAAAGAAATCTTATTATTCAGCTAACTTTGAGACCAGTTACAATCACATTGACATTTGGTTTGGCAGCACACACACTGAAAATAGTCACAATGCACCGGGTTAATAATGTACAGACAGGTTATGACATTAGGAGTCATGCAGCTGCTGCATACACATGAAGCTGAACGGGCAGGTGAGGATGACGGTGAAAAACAATTAGTTCGTGTCGAAAACACATTATTCACCAGAGGCTGTACTCACAGAGTGACAGTGACATAAAAAGTGGGAAAACGTCACGAGAGACTGTAGTACAAACACGCACACGTTTAATTAACCACATCTGGAAAAACAACCCAATGAGTCAGTTTAAGTTAATTTTAGTCCCCCCCCCCCACTCCCAGACACACACAGCTGACTCTTCTTCAGTCAGCACGTTTATACTCACAGCACGGTATGACAACAGATGTCTAATCACATGCACACACGCTCACAGTAGACTGGAAAGAGTGTCCCGATATTAGGACGCTTGACTAAACAGAAGGATAGAGCATGCCTAGTGACAAGAGGGAGTGAAGGGTGAGGTGGGGGGGCTGAGCCACGCTGAGCCCATGTGGAGTTACCTCCGTCTGTATAGAGGTCCATTTCAGAGGAGGAAGGAGGAGAAACAACTGTTAGAGAACATTGTGGCCTCTGCTGTGTGTAGCAGGGCCTTAAATGGGAAAAAAATAAAATAAAAACAACACACGCAAGTTCATTCATATTGATCACACAACACAGACTGTTCAAGACAAGATAAGGGAGGGAGGCCGCTCAAAATGAGGATTCAAATATGTCTTGTATCTTTACAGTTTAACCCACGCTGTATACAAACATGTTTTACTGAATCAGTTATTTAGCCTGATTAAGAATTATTGCCAGATGGATCAAATTACATAATATATCGTGATAAAAACGTAAATGAATGCAAAAATTGAGCGGTGCCCCTTTCATTGTACAATAATCTCTTTGTAACTAACACAACTGATAAGCTTTTAAAACACATCCATGTACATTCTGACAGAACAGCATTTTCTACATAGACATTTATGATCGATGACATCTACATTAATGGTTTAAGAGATGCAGGAGGTCAGAGATGGGGGGAAATAAAAAGGTTATCCTTGGAGTTGTTATTGACAGAATAAAAGAAAAAGTGATAGGCAATGGTCAAATGTGAAGAGTTAGGAGCCTCCCAGTGAGTTTGCATGAGTATTTCCTTATATAGAAAAAGAGAGGGAGCAAAAGTTGTGAGAGGTTGGTGCTTGTCTCTAAATTTGGACTAAAATAATATAAAAAATGGACTCTAAGCCTGGGGAGAAGGAGTATACACTACAAACAAAAAGGTCTGTCACGGTAACAAATTTTGCTGGGCGATTAATTGTCCCAGAAATTATTGCGACAAACGATAATATCGTTTGAAATTTGACAATAATGAGTAATTATTGTCAAATTTAAGAAGAAATGTAGATTTGTTTTCAGTGCAGTACATTTTTTCACCACCGGATGGCAGTATAAGAATTTTTTAATTTAAGGATGGCTAGTGAGGGAGCAAGCAGCGCATCTCTAAGAAAAATGGGGAGGAAAGCCCCTTGACGTGACACGGGCTGTCTCTCGTTCCCGTTTTTCGATTCTCAAAATGGCGGACGCTCTGTGTGGTTTGAGCCCTTTAGCATAGCATTTGTCACACAAAACTTTTAATAAAAAATTCAGTAAACAAGTTCTCAGCTTCTTTTTGCAGAGAAAATCAACTTTTTAGACGAAGGCACGAGTTTCAACCGTGAATTTTGGAGCTCCGACAAGACAGAGGTTTTTTATCCTCGAGGTCGGCCTGTTAGCTTAGCTCGTAGCCTAGCTTTTCAGCTTAGCTGCTTTTAACAATCCAAAAATACGATTTTGGATGGTTAAAACAGATTTTAAAGAGAAAAGGGAAAGCGAGGGGTCAGTGAAGAGCACCGCAGTGGAGACTTATCATCCAGTGTCTTCGGTAGAAAGAGAGAGACATGAAGAAACGATAAAGTCGATAAATGATAACGAGGTAGATAATTTTCATTTATCATGCGATTAATTGATTTATTGTTTATCGCGACAGGCCTACACAAAAAAACTAATTTCAGTGGGCAAGTACACACACACGCCCTGCATACGCACATCTACACACACACCAAGACACACACACTGGCCCTCATAATTAATATCAAAGAGGCGGCAAAGAACACATCAAACTGGGAGTTAGTAAGAAATATATTTCTCCAGTTTTAGCTTCTCTCCATCTATCAAACTCAGAATTCAAAATCTTTCTTCTAACCTACAAAGCTCTCAACAACCTAGCTCCATCTTATAATTACAGATCTTATTGTTCAATATTTTCCTAACGGAGCACTTCACTCTCAGACTGCAGGCTTACTTGCGGTCCCTAGAGTTTCCAAAAGCAGATGGGAGGAAGATCTTTCAGTTATCAGGCTCCTCTTTTGTGGAACCAACTTCCAGTTTCTGTCCGTGAGGCTGACACCTTGTCCAGTTTTAAGACTTTCCTTTTTGATAAATCCTACAGTTAGGGTTGGCTTGTTATGCTGCCATAGGCTTAGACTTCTAGAGGATAAATTGACCTCATTTCCTTAAACAAATTGTTAAAATTTAATAGTTTTCATTTGATATTATTTCTATCTTAACATGTGATTCTTGTTCTGCCATTGTGTATCTGTTCTTCTCAAACCCAGCCGGTCGAAGCAGATGGCCGCTTGTCCCGAGCCAGTTTCTGCCAAAGGTTTCTTTCTCATGAGGGAGTTTTCCCTTTCCGCTGTCACCTTCATGCTTGCTCAAGATGAGAGTCTGCGATGAAGTTAAACTCAAAGCAGTCTGCTCCTCAGATAATTAATGTTATTAACTTT